GTAATGACAATCCTGTCGATTGTTTAATTTTAATAATTATTTTAATAAAAAATTTAAATTGATACTTGTTTCCCGATTTTTATGAAATTTGCTTGATTTATTCTCGATTGATCCGCATGAAGAAAAATATGAATTCATTAAATTGATATACAGTCCCTGAAACAAATGTTTATTATCTAAATTAGATAATATCATACAAATCAATTCGCTCACGTGAATTTTTCAAAATTCTATACTGTTAAGTAAAATAATAACATTTTATAATTGTTAAATATTTTAGTATGAAATATTTTAAAATATGTAGCTTTTCACTTCCGAGAAATTAAACATTGTTATATGTATTAGTCTAAATTTTTTCATTGCGAGCCATCAGTCTTTAGCCCATAGTTGATTTTAATGACTTCTCCAAGTTATTCTTTGACACTTGTTTTCAGAAAGACCGCCTACTATTTTCAATAGACAACACCCGACTACAAGAGCCGCATTTTATTTAATCCGTCTAAAATATTATTTCTGAAACTAAATATTTATCTATTTCAACAACATTTAAAACGATATAGAAGTTTATAAAAACACTTCTACTTTTAAAATTGTCACTTAAAAAAAATCAGTTTATGTAACATATATTAGTTTATGTTTCAAGTAAATATTATTTTATATATTTGTTATTTATTTATGAAACGCTATTATAAAATATGCAATATTTCAAAGTTAATTAGCAAACTCGAAGGAATTTTTGAAATTTGTTGTTTTACGATTTATGAGTCGATGTACAATCGCCAGGCTCTAAAAGTACGCTTCTGCTTTGAAATCTTTAGATATATATGTATCAGTACATTTACTAATATTATGATCATAAGGTCCACTTGCTCTCTGACTGCAAGAGTCGAATTACATAATGGGAAGAGCTTAGGTATAAAAATAAGATTAGCAAAGTATGAAATTTTTATATTTTTATGAAGTTAAAAATTCAGAAATTAAATTACTTTTTATGAAAAAATTAGAAGTTTTTAGAAATTAGAAAGTAGACGTTTTGTTGTAAAACTTTTAATAATATGTTTTTTTAATACTATATGCAGCCAGTTTTGTAAATTCTCCTGATCAAAAGAAACCGCCTCTTGCTCAGTGGCGCATTAAGCTTTCTGCCGACCTAGGCCCTATCCGTTCAGGCGCCCTTTTTAATAGACAAAATTTTACTTTTTTAATTAAACAATTTATTTTAAATTATTTAGATGTTGGGTAAGTTATAGTAATCTTAAATAGTAATTTCGGAGTTACGGAGCAAAGAGTGCAGAAAATAGAAATCGAGTTTTTGAGAGAACGGAGCATCCAATTTGAATGATCTAAAAAACATTCAATTTGTAATCATGGGGAGAAGTGGTAATTAGCTTTTGGCAAAGGCAAGTCCAGCCGTTTCGGAGATACCTAGCTAAATGTGCAAAAAATGGCGAACGAAATAAGCAATTTTGAAAAAAAAATTTTTTCGAAATTTTTTTTCAATTTTTTTTCAAAAATTTTTTTTTGTGTATATCGAAAATAATTCAAATTTTATTTTTAATTCTGACTAAAGTTTTAAATCTCACATACACTAAAGAATTATTAGATGCTTTTAAGAAGAATAATAATTATTGATTTTGAATTAGAGGTTGAAAAATACTACAATGCAAAGAGATAAAATATATTTTATCAAAAACCAAACTCTTCGCGTTGTAGTATTTATAGTATTTTTCAACTAATTCAAAATTAATAATTATTGACAATATTCTTTCTGAAAGCATCTAATAATTCTTTATGAAGTTCTGAAAAAAAAAATAACAATCACATATTAAAAAGCAAAGATTATTTTGCAAAAATTTTATTTTACGATATTTCGATATTAGTTAATTATCAGTGACATATATTGACATATTTATGTTTATTAATTAACATAATTATTTAAATATTTCAATTTTGATAATTATATGTGCTTAATTAGGATGCAACTTTTTTCCTCACCACCCATGGGGTAAAGTTGCCAGGCGCGTTTTTTTTAATGTGGTGTCGCCACAGAAATAGATACTTCTATTCATATTTACGTTTCTAACATTTCAGATGGAAATGGATATAGTGTAAATACTACTAAGTATCGATTTGTGCAGCCCTAATCCACTTAAACTAACTTACATACTAATTATACCTAACTGACCCGAATATATCGCGAAAAGAAGAATCCCCGCGAAATGACGTAATGTACCCAAAAATTACGGTTTTTAAAAATGAAAGAACCTCTCGTGGTAAAGAAAGTAATCAATATAAAATGTTTACTTTAGTATTTTAGCGGTGATTGTAAATTTATAAAAAAAAGAGCATTTACATGATGTACCCCCCAGATCCACCATGTAAACACTTGGAAAAAAGCTTCATAGGTTCCCAGCCTATGAAGTTTAAGGACAAATGACAATTAATTAATTATTGTAAAGAAGAGCGCGACAAATATAAGAGAGGTTTTTTCATGACGCCACCCTTTTGAGCTCTGAATAAAAGTACGCGAATAACCCCAAAAAAGGTACGGCCAAAGATTTTAATGTCAAAACGTCCCCTAACCTGATAATTACTAAATACTACTATAATAATAGAAAGTCTTATCTCACAGTTAATTTTCCTTTCGATTATGTCATATCATCCAATTCAGTTGTAGGCGGTAGTTCAGGTAGTAGTGGTGCTAGTTGGTTTTGAGTTGATATTTTCTGCCAATCTCGTGCAAGACCTAAAAAGAGGTAAACAAGAATTTCATTACATTTATTCGTATGGGTTGCAGAAGTAATTGTTGGTACCCACTTGTACATATCCTTTAATTCGGTAGCGATCTCTTGGTGGTTCGTGTATATCTTGGCAAAACATATAGACATACAATACGTCTTCTTTGAAAGACATCTGAAATGAAAAAAAAAACACAAATGCCCCTAAAAATAGGGACAAACAAATAAACGGGGCCCCGATTATATTAATAAAAGAATATATGGTCATAACTAATAATAAGATCAAATCAACAATAATATGATAAAAACCTTTAAATATGCATATCCTCCTAGAAGTTATTTGGAAGTCCTTGTGCTTTGTGGTGCGAAAAGCAATCAATTCTGTAACCCTGGAATAAAAAGAAAAAGATTTATACATATTACTTAGCAGTATGCCAATAATTTTAGTGTCTTGGTACATCAATTAGTCTGACCAATTTTCTCCTATGGGTTGTGGAAGTAGTTCTTGGTAATCACTTGGTAAGCAATTTTCTTGGAAAGACATCTGAAATGAGATAAAAAAAAATACAAATGCCCCTAATAGGGACAAACTTACAAACGGGGCCCCGGTTATATTAATAAAAGGATATATGGTTATAACTAAGGTCTAATTAACAATAATACGATAAAAACCTCTACATATGCATATCCTCCCTCCTGGCAGTTATTCGGAAGTCCTGGTGCTTTGTGGTGCGAAAAGAAATTAATTCTGCAACCCTGAAATAAAAAAAATATTTATACATATTAGTTAGCAGTATGCCAATGTTTTTTATGCCTTGATACATCAATTAGTCTGACCAATTTCTACTATGGGTTGTGGAAGTAGTTTTTGGTATTCACTTGGTAAGCAATTTTCTTGGAAAGACATCTGAAATGAGATAAAAAAACACAAGTGCCCCTAAAAATAGGGGCAAACATACAAACGGGGCCCCGGTAACAAAAATAAAAATATTATATACTTATATCTAACCAAGGACTAATTACTTAATATTAATTTATGAATACGAGAAAACCTGTAGGTATCCATATTGAGGTGGACCGGAAGGGTTAAGGGTACTCTTGTAAGAGTGTAAAGATTGCTATTTGGTATGTTTAACATCTCACTCCCCAATATGAAGGGTTTACCTTAGCGCCCTAATTCGACTCAACAAAACCTGCAGTTACCAGTGGAGATTTTAACTAACTACACAATTAAAACAGAATCTACTTACCAACTTATTGATTGTTACCGAGTTATGTTTACAGATCCGAGAGCTTGACCGCACTTATGTATAGTGATGCATTAAGCCTAAATTCGAATGTACTAACGATGGGGTAATGATAAAGCTAGAAATGATTAAAAATGTATAGAACGGCGTAATTACGCAGGGGAAAGCTTAAAATCGGAAAACTCGATCGGATTTTTCTAGATCGTGTTCTTTTTCCCTGGCACAACATCACAACCATCACTAATGCACTAACTTGTGTCCTCCGTATTGGATTGACCACCTGAGAGGACTGATACTAAAAAACGATCGCGACTCCGGACCTCATACGATAGGAGCCTTATAGGCAGGTGGGGATTTAGTTTAGAAACTCCTTGGAAATGATGTATGTAGTCTTTATCGCGACTCTGGACCACATACGACAGGAACCATATAGGCGGGCGGCGGATGTAGTTTGCACTAAAGGTTGTGCAACCCTTTGGAAACATTGCATGCTGTCGTTACAAAGACAGCAATCACTTTTTAAGTACCAGTCCTCTGAGGTAGTCAATCGAGTCGGAAGTACACAAGCCCTCGAGGCAGTTAGTGTATAGTGGTGCGTGTGTTGTTCCATGGGCGAAGAACACACAATCCAGAAAAAGTGAGGGTTCTCCGATTGTATGCGATCCCCTTTGTCATCACGCCGTATCATACACATCTATAATTTCAAGCTTTTTGATCAACCAAAACAATAGTATATCAGAATTTAGACTTAAGACATGACTACAAAAATACAGTCATATCTTGGCACCTACGACGAACACAACTAGGTAACATTAAATAAGTTAATAAGTATAGATTCTGTTTCATTCGTGTAGTTAGTTACGCACTCTACAGATAATTACCGGTTTTTATTAAAAGTCAAATTGGGGCGCCAAGGTAAACCCTGTATATTGGTAAACGCAATGCTAAGATGTACCAAGTAGCAGTCATTGCACCTCAAAAAGGGTACCTTCAACCTTTTTAATCCACCCAATCTCCTAGCAGTCCTGGTGCTTGCCGTCGCGGTGAGAAATTAATTCTGCAACCCTGAAATGAAAAGTGACTTGAAAGAAATGAAATAGACAATGACTTATAAATACTATGTGGTAGCCTACTCGTATTTATTCCAGTGCTCTGGTACATCATATCGGTACACATCTTCTCCTGTTCGTTGTTGTAGTATTAAACCTCCTGGTATCTTTAGTTGAGGCCCATTTACACTAAAATAAATATTAATTTTGTTATTTTTTTATATAATTTAGGGTTTTGTATCATCATACTTTTTTTAACTTCAAACAGTACGTCTTCAACATTTCTCCGTTTAGGAGACTTATTGTGCAATCACAAAAAATTTAAATTATTTATTTAAAATATGTTCATTGCATTACAGTAGAAAAATCAGTCAAAATAAAAACAAGTAATTTATTTAACAAAGTTGTTAGATTTTTAGACGAGTTATTTACATCCATGCTACTAATAAAATGATTCCAAAAAAATTAAACATTATACATAATTAAAATAATATAATAATACTAATTATAAATTAAAGTGTATGGGGTTGCGTTGCTTCTGGGAAAAACATCGCAAGGACCCATACACCGAATGAAAAAAAAAATATTAACGAAACGCGAATTACTAGAACCTGCCGTAGGGGGTAGGCGACAGGAACACATTTAAACGCGGAAATCGTTTCAAACGATATTAAAATTACGAATAAGTCCTCGCACGAACAAAAAAAAATTAAAATGTGGACGCAAATAACTCAAAATTATAATTTAACAAAATTATAAAAAATAATTAAAAATTGTCAATGTGATTGAATAAAAAAAAATCATGCACAATAAATCCCTAAAGCAATCCGCCACTGCGCAAAACACTGTATGAAATCTGAAACAAAAAAAATGTAGTCAATCGTAAATATTTGAAACATAAGATTTATATTAAAATTTAATATTATTTAATTATATTTAAATTTAATAATCTAAAGATTGCATTAAATTATTTATGTTAACTCAAAGGCTAAAATTAAATATTTTCACAACAATAAACACTAGGCGACACTTCAGCACAAATATATTGGATTAGAAAATGTAACGCAAATCGTTTAACATTAAAGAGACGAATTTTTACTTCAATTTATTTACATTCTTATAATTATAATTCAACAGAAAATCAAGTCAAATCGAATCAACCAAAATACAAGTTCCATGACACGTATTTGAAACTGAATGCACGAAATGATTACATAATACATAAATATTTTTTAAAAGACTTACCACTGACTGTAGTGTTCACCGAGAGGTCCAAATACAGAATGATTTTAGTTGTTATTACGCACTTCCTTTTATTGGGGTCAGAAAGGGACAAAACTATGAATTGTTACCAGATGATACTAAAATTCAAAAATTCAAAAATTGTTATCTAATTGAATAGTTTCGGGTTCGAAACCATAGAGGGTGCAATACGAAAAGTTTATTGTACCTCACAATCAGTCATGATTCAACCTTCGTGGCGAGATGGTCGAAATTAATACTGCTAATATTTGCATCTAGTTCTGTTTGATTCATATATTTGATTTGATTGTGAAGTATTATTTGTATTAAATACGTTTTTATTTGTATTTGCGTCTTTATAATTTGTGCGTTTTTATATATAATTGTAAAATAAAACTAGTGGTGCATGGCATCGTGCCTTAAGGCAAATTGCTGGAACTTTCCGTACCGTAATAGAATATTCGAGAAATTTTAAACGGTTTTCAAATATATTATTACAGACTTTCATTATTACAGTATTATATATATTTATTACAGTAACTTTCATTATTTTTGTTATATCTTGTTATATCTGAGCGAATTAAATGTAAATCATAAATCAATTTATCTGCAGAACATTAACAATCGTCATTTCTTTTCGAATTCAATTTCAAAAAAATAGTTGCCTAACAAATTTTTTTTGTATATCGAAAATAATTCAGATTTTATTTTTGATTCTGACTAAAGTTTTAAATCTCACTTATATACTTTATAAAATAGTTTCAACTTTGCAATTCAGTTTATATAATTACTATAAATATTAGACAATGTTACAGTATTCATAACATTTCGTTGCGTTACGAGAAGTTCCAGCAATTTGCCTTAAGACGCTCTTGATTAGAAAACGAATAACATTCTATTTCATAGAGAATTATCTAGATCAAGATCAATCCTTAAAATAAATTGCCGTGACAAAAAAAAATCGGAAAAATTTGCCGCCCCCCAAATTGTGCCACCCTAGGCCCGGGCCTCACGGGCCTATGGGGTAATCCAGCACTGCTCTTGCTATAGATATCGAAATCTTTAATTGAGAAACTAAAAACTAAAGAAACTAAAAATATGCTTCAAATTTATTGGTTTATGAAAAAATTTATAATTATTTATAAGTTATTATTATTTATAATTATTTATAAGTTATTTATAAGTTTAAGAAAATTACATATAACCTAATAATGAAAGCAGACTAAATATTATTCGAATATACAATTTCCAATTTGAGAATTGCATTCATGGCAAACAAATATATAACTAAATAGTAATGCACAATAAAGTATTAATTATAATTATATTAAAAAATTCAAAGAGTTACAAAAAAAATTTCAAGAACAAAAAGCGAGACACGTAGCTTGAAACGGATGTTTGTGACTGAATAGAAAAACTAGTGGGGTGTATGGCATCGTGCCTTAAGGCAAATTGCTGGAACTTCCCGTACCGTAAGGAAATGTTCGAGGAATACTGAATGTCTTCAAATAGATTATTATTAATATTGTAACATTGTCAAATATTTATAAGAATTATATAAACTGAATTGCAAGATTAAAATTATTTGTTTGAAGTATATTAGAACTATAGCCAGAATTAAAAGTAAAATCTGAATTATTTTCGATATATAAAAAAAAAATTTTTTTTGATAAAAAAATTGAAACAAAATGTTTTTTTTTCCAATTTCAATTATTTTGTTAAGACAAGCAGAATGTTCTTTGAATCATTTAAATCGGACGCTTAGTTCTCTCAAAAACTGCCATTTTTTACACATTTAGCTCCGTATCTTCGAAATGGCTGGGCCTGCCTTTGCCAAAAACTAATAAACACTTCTCCCAAATTACTAATTGAATGTTTTTTAGATCATTCAATTCGGATACTCCGTTCTCTCAAAAACTCGATTTCTATTTTCTGCACTCTTTGTTCCCTATCTCCGTAACGGCTGGACCTGCCTTTGCCAAAAACTAATCAGCTCTTTTCCCTATCAATAGGAATTGAATGTTTTTTGAACCATTCAAATCGGTTGATCCGTGCGCTCAAAAACATGACTGGAAATTTGTATCCATACATACATACACACACACACATCCATTTTTTTTGAGGCATGCCAAAATGTTCAGAAACCTTTAAAACGTCGAGAAATGTAAAAATTTTCAATTTCGATTTTCGGCCCATTACAATAACTTACAATAAGAAAAAAGTATCCGGACTTTTTTCCGGAGCGGTCTGGAATTTTCCGGAATCAATCCGAACTTTTCCGCGTTGGAACCGATCACGGTTCTTCCGGAACCGGGTCCTTTTTGGACTTTGGAACCGGTTCTTAAAAATGACGGTTCTTGACAGCTCTAAGAATCACTTTTCGTATAAATTTTATTGACTTCTGCCTAACCTATTGATAAATCTGAATTACTGGTTATTATTTTTTTGGAATAGGTAATTATTCAAATTTAAATTCTACTAATATAAAGCATCATTGTGATCCAGGAAAAACCCAGGAAAACTGTTTTCAATTTACGAACGTTATGGCAAATAATGAACACCAAACACCATAGTAATAATATGTAACAATTTTTATCTTAATTATATTTTTTAACATTTATTTATAAAGTTCTATGAAACGTGTCAAATCACAATTTGTATTATCAAAATGAATAGAACAGAAAACTAGTAATTTTCAGCAAAAAATATCACGTTTCGGAAACATAGCTACTATTAACAATATGTTGTTAATCGTATACTGCTTTATATTTTAAATTATATTTCCTGGAAATAGTTATTTATATTTTCAACAAGATTTCAAATTCATAACTAAATAGACTAAATAGATGCTATTGCTAATAGATATTGTTAATATATAATAAATGCATAATAAATTAGAAAATAATTGATTTAATAATTGAGTGTTTATTCAAATTTTATATGCATCTTTACAAATACTAATTTCAAATTACAAATACTTACAAACTACTTACAAATGATAATTAATATTTGAGATTTCGAATAAACATACTAGTGTACAAAAAACACTTTTTATAAGAACATATAATCATAATTAAATTAATTAGTTATTTATGCAATTAATAATAAAATCCCGGATATCATAAGCTGTTTTACCTTATCGTAAAAAATTTAGAAAAACTTTCATAAGCTTTCATACCAAGTTCCTCAA